TTTTATTATTTTATTATTTTATTATTTTATTATTTTATTATTTTATTATTTTATTATTTTATTATTTTAAGACTTTTATTAAATTTAAAAACCTATTATTATAATTTTTAGTTTTTTATATACTTTTATTACTTAATTAAATTATTAAGTTATCTATATTAAGCTTATTATTATATCATACCTGAATATTATATTAGTTTTAATATTAATATAGTAAATATATATATATTATATATATATTAGCCTTAATATACTATTAATACAGTATTTAATACCTTTTTTAATTAATAAATATTTAGTTTATATTAAAAAGTATAATATATATCAAAAATCCAAATATATATTAGAAATCCGAATACATATTAGACTTGTATAATATATATCCAGATTAAATAATATATATTTTATTAAGTAAATATATACTTTTTTAGAAAAAAAATATATTAATTAAAAATATATATTAAAAATTTAATATATATTATTTTAAATATAGGTTATATATATTATATATTATAAAAGTAAATATATATATTTAAAAATAAGATATATTAATTTAAATATAGTATTAGTACTATATTTCATCTTAATATAATATTATAATAACATTTATAATTAATATAATATTAGGGCTATACTAGCACTATACTAAAAACACCCCCTCCGCCGGCACGGATGTAGCAGGTCCAGACCGGGTGTTTGGATACAGGAATCAGAACCCAAAGCACAGATAGAAGAACCGTCCAGGTACAGCATGGCCTCCACCATCCCCCTCAGCCCTGACTGGTGCCTCAACCACCCCAGCGAGCCTCACCTCTCCAGCCTCGCCGAGTACCACGCCCTCTACGCAGAATCCATCCAATCCCCCTCGCACTTCTGGGCCAAGCTGGGAACCTTGGAAGCCCGCCAACTGCTCAGCTTCGAGCAGGACTTCCACACGCCACACATCGGCTCCCTGGCCAGCGGCGACAGCGCCTGGTTCCTCGGCGGCAAGCTCAACGCCTCCTTCAACTGCGTCGACCGCCACGCTATCGCCAACCCCGACCGCATTGCCATCATCGCCGAGCCAGATCACCCCGCCGATGCCAGCCGCCAGGTCACGTACGGCGAGCTCCTGCGCCACGTCTGCCAGCTCGCGGCGTTCCTGCGCTCGCGCGGCGTCCACAAACGCGATATCGTCACCATCTACATGCCCATGGTCCCCAAGGCTATCTATGCGCTCCTCGCCTGTGTGCGTATCGGCGCCGTGCACTCCGTTGTCTTCGCTGGGTTCTCGGCCCAGGCGCTGCGCGACCGCATCTAGGATGCAAAGTCCACACTCGTGATTATAGTCGACGAGGCCCAGCGTGGGGGCAAGTCCATACCCACCAAAGCCATCGTTGATGAAGCCGTGAGCGAGTGTCCATGCGTCCAGACGGTCTTGACATACAGGCGGACTGGGCCAGAGCCAGAGTCAGAGTCCAGCGGAACTGAGCCCCAGGCCCCGGCCCCATGGACCTCAAGCAGAGGCTTCTGGTGGGACGAGGCCGTGCCCAAGTTCCCCGCGTACATCCCGCCCGAGCCCATGGACTCGGAGGACTACTTGTTCCTCCTGTATACATCTGGGTCAACGGGGAAGCCCAAGGGCGTCTTCCACAGCACGGCAGGGTACCTGGTCGGCGCGGCAGTGACGGCAAAGTACGTGCTTGACATCCACCGGTTTTTCTGCGCCGGCGACATCTGCTGGATTACCGGGCACACGTATGTGGTGTACGCGCCGCTGCTGCTTGGGTGCACGACCGTTGTGTTCGAGGGCACGCCCTCGCATCCAACACCCACGCGGTATTGGGAGGTGCTGGCCAAGCACGCGGCGACGCACTTCTACGCGGCGCCAACAGCCCTGCGGCTGCTGAAGCGCTGCGTGAGCAAGGCGGACATCGTAGGGTTCCAGGATGGGACGCGGCAGCTGCGTGTGCTGGGATCGGTGGGCGAGCCCATTGCGCCGGAGACCTGGCAGTGGTATTTCGATTCCATCGGCAATGCCCGTGCATGCATCACTGACGTGAGTCCCCGCCAATGGATTATACCTGGTATCCTGGCCTCTAACACCCACTGCCCGCGGCAGACATACTGGCAGACGGAAACAGGCTCGCATCTGATCGCCGGCCTGGCCGGGGCAACGCCCATGAAGCCCGGGAGCGCGGCGCTCCCAACCCTCGGCATCGACCCCGTCCTCACCCTATCGACCCCGTGAGCGGCCACGAACTGCACGGCAACTCGGTGCAGGGCGTCCTGGCCATCAAGCAGCCCTGGCCATCAAGCAGCCCTGGCCGAGTATGGCCCGGACCCTGCGCGCCAACCACGACCGGTACATGGAGACCTATCTGAACGTGTACAGGGGGTACTACGTACGTGCCAACCTACTGCAAACGCCTGCAAGCGCCGGCTAATCCATCTGCTGCAGTTCACTGGAGACAGCGCGTTCCGCGACGCAGACGGGCACTACTGGATCCGCGGCCGCGTGGACGATGTGATAAACGTCTCCGGGCATTGGCTGTCAACTGTGCTTGGACTAACAAGGGCAGGGATTCTGTACGAGATGGGTGGGACGTGGGTCACGCACCACATGGCGTATCTGTTCCAGGAGATGGTCCGCTATAAGATGGACCGGGATCTTGTTCTAACCCAGCACCATGGCTATGAGAATGACTACTACACGCTCAATGTCCCCGGTAGGATTCGTTCCGGTCTAGCCCTCATTCATCGATCGCTGACAGGTTATCCATCGTATAGGTAGGCGCTCCTCCCCGCAAGCTCACCCACGAAGAAGCAGGCCAGATCACCGGGCGAGCCTGGGACCTCTTCGTCAAACGTCGACGGCCAGAACTGCCGCCGCGTGTGCCCCCTGCCCCACGCCCAGCTGGACAATGTCCACACCACCAGGCCCGAAGTCGAGCAGCTCGACAAGACCTCCTGCCGCGACCGGTTCGACGCGATCAAACACCTACTCACGCCCGAAGAGGCCGGCATGCTCGAAGCCTTACTCCTGCACATCTCGGGCGGGAGCATGGAGAACTCGAGCCTGTGGGACATGGTCCGGTCGCACGCCCTCATGTCGTACAGCTCCGCGAACTTCGGCCCCATCTGGACGACCTACAAGCTCCGCGAAGGGCAGTCCGAGCTGGCGAGGCGGATCTTCGACGATGCCGTGCGCCACGGACTGCAGTACTCGTTCCAGACGCCGATCCAGGCGGTGCACGACACCGGCAGTGCAGGTGCGAGTGGGCTGGTCGAGGTGCAGAGCGCCCTCGCCCTCGCTGGAGAGAGGACGTACCGCGGGCGCCGGGTGGTGTGCACGATCCCGCTGAACGTGCTGTCGTCCATTCGATTCACGCCTGCTCTGTCGGCGCTGCGCCAGGAGGCCGTGGCGGCCGGGCACGTGAATTTCATGACGAAGATCCACGCCGAGGTGGAGGGGTCGGGGCTCGCCTCGTGGAATGGAATGCGGTATCCGAATCTGCTGATGTTCGGGTATGGGGACGGCGTCACGGAAAGGGGCAACGCGCACATTGTCGGGTTTGGCAAGGACGAGCGCGGCGTGTACGTGCCTGCGCGCGACCCGGACAAATCGGTCGATGCATTCCAGAAACTGCACCCAATGGAGGTGAAGAAGATGGTGCGTATGCTGCCTTCAAGGTTGTTCTGTGGCGTCCAGCTAATGGGTCAGGTCTTCCATGACTGGGTCACGGATCGGTGGGCGCTCGGGGGCCCTGCTTGGTGGCGGCCGGGGTACATGAGCAAGTACCAGGAGGAGCTGCAGAGCCGGCATGGCAACGTCTTGTTTGCGTCGGCGGACTGGGCCCATGGCTGGCGGGCGGCGATTGACGGGGCCTTGGAGCAGGGCTGTCTGGCGGCGCAGGAGGTGGTCGGGGAGATCCAGCCGGCACAGGGCGCTGTCAAGGCCGAGTTCTAGACTTGCACTAGCATCATGAATCATATTCTCTCGTCATACCAGGAGTAGAATCCCAGTCGGTGCCAGATATCAGACCAAGAGCCGGGTCACATGACGCAGAAGCCCTAGAACCGCAGGAGACTTTCTACTTCATGCAACGACGAAGCGTCGAAGAGAGCGAAGGACCAGCACACCGAAACCTCCGAGTCTCTAGGCCTGTCTACTCCATACCCTACCCCACCAGGCCCACCAACTGCCAGATTCGGCGCACAGTAGCCGCGGTGGAGGATTGTCGGAGAAACAGTCCAGGCCCACCGCTGGCTCTTCTACCGCAATAGGCAGGCGGGGCTTGCCAGGAGATGTCTATGTGAGTCTACTGGTGGCGACAGTTCCAATGACATCGCTTTGAGTATAAGAGGACGGCCCTCAATCTACCATACGTAGTCAGTTCTCCTTATCGTTCACCGTCCTTCCAACAGCCAATGGCCGCCACCGCGAAACGCCCCGAAATCATCGACCTCTCGCGCTCGCTGCGAGGCGTTCCCCAATGTGAAGACTACGAGCGCATGATCTCGGGGATGATGTAAGTTCATTGGGTGTAGTATTAGTATACCCTGGCCGCCCCGGCCTGACAGCACCGCAGGTACAACCCCAACAAGCCGGAGCTCCTGGAAGCCCGGCACCAGTGCCGCGGCCTAACGGCAGACTACAACAACCTGGACACAAAGGCCGTGCCCTCCGATCAGATCTTCGACAAGCGGCTGGAGCTGCTCCGCAAGCTGGTGGGCAAGGTGGGCGACGGGACCTTCGTCGAGCCCCCCTTTCGCCCGGACTACGGCTGCAACATCAGCATTGGGAGCAACTGCTTCATTAACTGGGAGTGAGTGCACGTCCCTCTTATGGACAAAAAAGGAAGAGTCTAACTCGCCAGCTTGACCGTCCTGGACACAAGCCTCGTTGTCATCGGCGACCGTGTCCAGATCGGCACGGGGGTGAGCATTTTCAGTGCCGGGCACGACACCAGCGTGCTCTCGCGCCAGAAGTTTGTGGAGTTCGGACACCCTGTCTTTATCGAGGACGACTGCTGGATTGGAGGGAATGTGGTGATCCTCCCTGGGGTCAGGATTGGCAGGGGCTCGACGGTTGGGGCGGGGGCCGTGGTGACCAAGGACATCCCCCCGTACTCGGTGGCGGTGGGCAGCCCTGCGCGTGTGAAGAAGACCATCCAGTCGGTGGAGGAGGAGGAGCAGGATCCGAATAATCCCTATCGGAACCTGGTCCGTGAGGATCGCTAGCTGCCTAGATACGCAGATTAGAAACTTACAGTGCGGGGAAGCCATTCTAGACCGTGTACTGGCCAATATAAAGGCAATGGTGAACTTCGTTGACGGTGGAGTACCCTTAATAGCTGCAATCTCCCTAGGCAGGAGGTATAGAAAGACGGCTTGCAGTCCACTTTCCAACCCGGGCAGAAACGCAGACACCATGGAAGCAGCCCCCGTAGACGCCGCCGGGGCCGAGAAGGGAAAGAGAACCAATTCGCTGGCCTTTGCACAGACCGACTGCCACACCTGCGCCGCAACAGGAAACCAATGTGACCGCCGGCGCCCGCAATGCTCGACGTGCCTCGCGCTGGGCCGTCGATGCGGCGGGTTCGCGATGCCCCTATCGTGGGATTCTCGGCGAATGTGGACGGAGAATCCATCAACAGCCGCTGAAGGTGTGCCCGACAGTGCAATAATGCCTGCTGCCGGCACAGTGCCTCCTCGGGGCTTTCGGTTCGTGCGCACTGGCTCCAGACTCCGGAAACGGCGCAAGGCACGCAATGAGGCGAGTGCCAGCGGCCCGCCCGAGGCAGCAACTGTGCCGCAGAGCGGCGAGGCGGTGGCAGTGGCAGTGGCAGCTGCATCTGGTCGGACAGGGCGAGATGTTTCCCGGAGCGGCAGGAGAGGAGCAGAGCATGCCAGGGGTGTCCGGAGCCCAAACGGGGGACGAGTTCCAGCTCACCGGCAGTGGAGGTAGGCCCATCGTCTACGAATCAGGCCATACCATACTGCTGACACTGTTTTAACAGACACCGTACCTGGCCACGATATCTGGGATGACTTTGCGCTGTTCGACTCGTTTGTGCCGAACATCTTCGAGGCCACCCCTTTCCTGGACTTTGGCCTCCAGGACCCATTGCCAGCAGACCTGCTGCCCCAGACGCTCCCGCTACCACTACCGGGCACTACCGGACGAGCCATCGAATTGATGCCGGGAGAAGACCTGAACCATGACCCCCTGCTGCAGCCATACGCGCCCATGCCGCTGGCCACTCCCCCACGCGATCCCGCAATGCGCGGAGTGGACTCGACCGTCTCCAATTCCCAGGTGCAGCCGGGGCTCGGGCTGTCTCCACGGGACCATGAGCAGCTGCTTGAGATGTGTAAGAGCTACCTGGACGGTGTCTTGCCTACCAGGGATGGCAGCCACTAACGGTGCTTACAGACGACTCGGAGTTCTGCGTCTTGCCCCTGACGTCGGACATGCCAATCAACCCCCTCCGCTGCCAGCGCCAGACATCCCAGGGCTCTAGTCTTCTGTTCCATTCAATATTGGCTCTATGCTGCCAGCATCTGAAAGGCCTCACCGGCAGTGGGTCAGCCGAGGCAGACGAGCACCGACGGAAGGCCCTGCAGCTGCTCGATGGTGCGCTCCCAAGTCGGGATGTTACTGTGGTAAGACATCCCGTTCTACTAGGTAATATGGTAGGAAGTCAACTAATAAACGCCAATCGTGACCAGGTGGGACGCAACCCTCGCCCTGATCTCCCGTCAAGGCCCAATCATGGACCGCGCCTACCTCGAGTTCCTGGTGCAGTGGGAGCAATTGAGAAGGAGCGCATTGGGGGCGCTTGGGTGGTGCATATGGTAGCTATGGGGCTGGCGGCGCTGGGTATCAGTGTTCTGATGGCTGTGCGCAGGCGGCGGTTGAGCTGGTGGATGAGGTGGTGGGGGAGCGGGCAAGCTTTTACCATGGCTCGAGGTTGGTATATGATAGAGCCTACGTGCATGTTCTGGTGGATGAGTCCCAGAGAAAGGTCCTTACTCCTGTTCAAGGCTTCACAAGACTTATGGTTGTGGGTATTGCTAAAGATGTTCCAGTGCAATCAGGTGCTGATGTTGTTGATGTGTCAAGTTAACCCGAAATTAGCCCTAAAAAGGCCCCGATCCCCGGTCTCAGCACCCAGCCCTCTCCCCCCTGGCAAGAAACTCCCTGATCACATTCTCCGTGACCTGCGCAATATCATTCCGATAGTCATCCCAAGCCAGCGAGTTATTCCAATTGATACTACCAACACTAAACACTGCCCCTCCCCCCTCCGCCTCATAATAAACCATATCACTCCTTACCAGCGCCGACGTCGACCCCAGCGTCCCAATCATCGGGAAAATCAGCTCCTCGTTGAACAGCATAAAGTGATCGTCATGCCGCTCGCTGCGCGCAAGCAGGATCGCGTTCGCGGGACTTCCAATCCCATGATCCAGCCGGTCCAGCTCGTCGCCGCTTGCTCCGCCGGCAAGGCCCTTCGTGCCTAGCAGTTCCTTGGAGCTTGCGTCGAGCCCCTTCCACAGCCAGGCCAAAGACGGATTGTTCAGGGCCTCCTGGGTCGGGATAAAGGGGCGTCCTGGGCCCTTGCCTGAGGCGCAGCTGCCGATGCCGAAGAGGAGGTTTGGTGATCGGCCAAGAGAGCGCCAGAGGCCGCCGAGTTGCCCGTTCAGCGAGTGTACGCGCTCGCCGGCGGGGAGCTCGTGCGTGCGCGCCCCCACGTCTGCGCGCCGGACTTCCATGCGGTGCGGGCGTTTGGGGTCCGTGACGGAGCGCCACTGTGTTGGGAAGGGTTAGGAGGGCTACCAAGGGGGAGAGCATTAGGCGAGACTCACATAGAACCCGTTTCCGCCGGTGTACATCAACGATCCGCCGCGTTTCAAGAACCCTTCGTAGGCGTCTAATGTCTCCATCGAGGGGTACTCCGGGTGCGAGCCGGAGATGACCACGTCATAGCTAGCCAGGGCCGTTGGACCTCGCAGGTGGAGGTCGTGATCCGTCAGGACGTCATACCCATCGCCTAACAATCGCTCCAAGAACCCCACCATTAAGAGGTCCGCCGAGAACTCGCGCGGCCGCTGGAATCCCCAGTGGATATAGTCCGGCCGCATGTTGAGGATCGGACGCTTGGCCGTGCTGTACACGACGCCGGAGCCGTCGCTGTGGAGGTCGTAGATGGCTAGGCCGAGGTCGGCTCGGCGAACCATCTTGTGGTAGTTGTCCGATTCCACGAGCTGCACGCCCTCGGGGAAGGAAATGTGGGTGGACTTGGTCTCGTCGTACATGTGCTCGTTGGCGTAGGCGAGATATGTCATGGTCGAGAAGATAAATGCGGTTCTTGCCGCTGGTCTGCGTTCCTTTGGCCGAACGAAGAATACAATCGAGTCTTTGAGGTCGGACTCGGTGTCCCAGACCTCGATGGCGTAGGCGCCGGACCGCAGGTCCTTCGGCACCTCAATCTCAAGATCGGTCTCCCAGTCTGCGTCGTCGAGGTCGTCCTCGTGGAAATGGATGGCCCCGAAACCGTACCTGGCCTCCTTCCAGCTAACGCCGATGAGCTTGTGGTCGTAGTCGTGGCCTCGGACTGCGCGCGTGGGGGCGTTGACGAGGATGCCGTTCAGTCCGGAGCCCGACACATCGGTGACCTCGTCTGTGTCGATGCCGATGGAAAAGTCGTACCGCGCAATGTCCCAGGTGGTCCCGTTTCTCCCCAGGGCAGTGAAAGTGGGCGAGTCAATGCGGCCATTGAAGAAGTGGACAGGACGAGTGGAGGTGGTGGTCGGGCTGGCGGCGTAGGTCGCAGCGATCACAAGGGGGCTTCCGGATTCAAGGATGGCAGTGCCTCGAAGTGTCTCCTGGACAGTAGTCGGAGAGGGGGTAGTCTCGTTCTCCCAAGGTACATGCGTTACATGCACCTTGACGCTTTTTGCTGTGACCGTGAGGCGAGTGTGGAACCACCGCTCACGGCGTACATTGAAGGCCGAAACTCGAATCGTCTCGACGCCCGATGACGTCCCAATCCACAGAAGCAGATCATTCTGGGTGCCGAGCAGCACGGCAAGTCCAGCTCCCTTGTTTGTATCTAGAGTCGACACGATGGCCTGTGGATACTTGGCGTCTAACATCCAGGGCTGCACATAGAAGGAGACCTGAAGTCCTTCAACCTTGTTCAGTAAAGGCTCTCGCGTCCAAGACTTGATCAGTGCGTATGAGCCTGGATGGGATGATTGGAAACATCCTTTCAGGTCTCCGCTTGGGCCATGCTCAACGACCTGCCGTTGCGGTGCTGGGGCATTGGGCATGTCCAGGCCCTGCAAGAGACGCACCAGTTGGTACTTGAGGTTAGGACGAGTGGATGAAATCTGGTATCAACTCCTTAGTGCTAGACATCAAGTATTGAATCGACTTAAGGGTACCGCACCTTCACATTTGCCTTGTCGCCGGGGGATACAACCCATGGATCGACGTAGCCAGTGATCTCCTCTTCCTCGACTCGGAAGTCAGGACGCACCGGATACTGTTCTGTAGACATTTGGTCCGTTGCAAGTAGAGACTTCGCGTTGTTGAATCAGTTGTCGCTGCACCAAGGAGTATTCGGTAGCGGATGTTGAGGGCTCTGCAGATGCCTTTGCTGTCCTTATACAACCATTCAAGGAGTAACAACACTGCCGATACTTCAATTACCGTCAAGTCACTTCAAAGAGTATCTCAAGTCACTACTTCAAGGATAGGGATTTAGGAAAGTTCAAGGTTCGGGGCCGTGATATGCAATGCCCAAATAAATATAAAGCAAGAGATGCGCTACAACTGGGAAACTCCATTTGAAGTAAGCCTCTTCCCCGCTTCTAAATGCACGATTGTCATTGTAATACGGACTGGTTCCATCTGTACTCTGGAACATTGCCAGTGAACGCTTACTCCGTACTCCGTACCACAGCAGGGATCCCCGGACACGGAGATTTCCAGTCAGGGGTGAGGAGTGACGTGGCAACCGAAAATAAGGGACAGCTCCGATCAACATTGACATTATCATGAGGCCAAGTGAGAAATTACTCATCTAGGAAGGCTATATTGATATCTTGGTAAGCCGACCGATATGGAGTCTTCATAGATGTCCCATGGGGTATCTAGATCCATCGATAGGAGGTATTAGGGTCCCTTGGCGCGAGGGGTAACCTCAGACTTCTCACGGCCAAAGAGGACAAATTGGTTATTGGCCAGGGGTTGGTGTTGAGACAGGTATAAAAGACTGCCACTCCACCGACCGGACAAGAACGATGGCCAGGCCATTCTCCCAGGTTACCAATTTTGATTACCTCCAGCCGACATGGGGACATCCAAGGACCCCCCCGCAGCCATGGCCAGTAGGGTCGAATGCACTCCCGGCACTTTCCTACTGGTCGATACCAGGGGCGAGACACAACAAACCCATGCGCATGGCACCGGTGCCAACAGGGATATCGTCTTGGTTCCTGCCCCGTCATCGCACCCCGACGACCCACTGAACTGGTCCCCTCGACGGAAGAAGTTGTCCGCACTGTGCATGGCTGCGTTCGTCACACTACCATACCCTCCAACATTTCCCAATGAACGACTGGGCAGCTGACGAAAACACTTCTATCCAGCTACGTCTTAGTCGTAGGCATATGTTCATCTTCGCTGTACTCCACCCTCGACCCCCTCTCGAACGCCACCGGCCTCAGCTACGACACCCTCAACTCCGGGACAGGATACATGGTAGTCCACACTGAAACGCCCCTGTCAAGTGAACAGGCAAGCTGAAAGCGTCATAGTTTCTGCTTTTTGGCTGGGGCTGCGTCTTCTGGCAGGCGGTCGCTGTCCAGTTTGGAAAACGCCCGGTCTACCTCGTCACACTCGCCGGGACCCTGGTTAGCTTGCCCCTCTGATCACAATGACTGAACCCATGGGTAAGCTGAGTCTCCATGCAGGGCGTTATGGTATGGCAGCCTCATATCCGATCGAATGGCGCGTGGATTGCGGCCAAGATCCTGCAGGGCTTCTTTGGGGCGCCGATGGAGTCCATTGCGGAAGTTACGGTTTCCGATGTTGTCAGTCAGAATCTATAGCCCTTGAACTTATCAGTAGCCAAGGTTTGGAGTCTGTACTAATTCTAGCAGTTCTTCACGCATGAAAGGGGCAGGTACATGGCTCTCTATGCCCTAGCCCTGGGCTATAGCAACGGCATTGCTCCACTGATCACAGGATTCATCAATGACGGGCTGGGCTACGAATGGGTGTTTGTGAGTCCTTACCTAGCGGCCCAAGGCGTCTGTCCATTGACAACGATTCAAGTACTGGTGTGCCATCTTCTGCGGAGTCGCCTTCATCCTCGTCTTCATCTGCATGGAGGAAACAAAATTCACCCGCACAGTCTACCTCGAAGGTCAATCCACCTCCAACGAACCCACTTGCAGCAAAGGTGAAGAGAACGCGGCTGGAGCATCAAGTGGACGAAAAGATCCCAAAGTAGGGCCGGGCCCGGAAACAAGCCCCAGGCCCGCAGAGCCACGCCCTCCACCCACGACCGCGAGAATCAACCCAGCCCTGACGAAAAAGCCCTTCCTCGCCAAACTCAAGCCCATCGAAAGCACCGGGTTCCGCCACCAAAACCGCCTCTTGCCCTTGATGCTCGAGCCGTTCCAGCTCCTCCGCTTCCCGATCATCGTCTACGCAGGCCTGCTGTACGGATGCAACATCGTATGGCTGACCTTCCTCAACGCAACAGAGTCAATGGTCCTTTCGCAGCCACCCTACAATATGTCCACTTCAAGCGTGGGATTGACCTTCATTGCGCCGCTGGCTGGCACAACCCTTGCGTGAGTCCGTCGATCAAAGACCCCAATGCCTCAACCCATACCTCCCATACCTCCCTACCTACCTACCTACCTACCTGGTGCTAACCAACTCACCAGAGCATGCTACACCGGCCTCCTCGGCGACCGCCTCATCATCGCCCTCTCCCGCCGCCACGCCGGCCTCTTCCAAGCCGAGTACCGCCTCTGGCTGTTCCTCCCCTCTCTCCTCCTAATCCCCTTCGGCTGCATCCTCTTCGGCGTCGGCGCAGCCCACCAAATCCACTGGTTCGGGATCGTGTTCGCCATGGGCGTCATCTCGTTCACAACAACCGCGGGCTCCCAGATTGCCGTTGCGTACTGCATCGACTGCTACAGGGAGCTGGGCGGCGAGGCGCTGGCCGCTGTGATTGTGATTCGGAATACGATGGCGTTTGGGATGGGGTATGCGTAAGTGCCTTTTTCTCTTAGGGCTCCGGGTCCGGGTGTTCACTAGTGCTGCATTCTGGCAGTGCTGCTTTGGGCCGCTATGTTAATTGCATGTTCGGTCTTAGGGTCACCCCGTGGGCTGTGAACATGGGCTACCAGAATGCCTTTATCCTGGGGGGGTTTCTTGGGCTGGCGCACAATCTGACGATCTTCCCTGTGCTTAGAGGGGGGCGGTGGTTGAGGCAGAGGGGTGCGGTGAGCTATTGGAAGAGGGTTAGGATGTAGAAATGCCACTTATTAGGGCTTGTCTTGTCTATGTTAAGCTAGGTATGGTCGTAACAAGTTCCTCAAAGAACGAGCATTTATCAAAGCCCCTTTCAACATCTAGGTTAGCAGACTTGATTTGAATTTGCTCCTGGAGTAAATTGGTACCATAAATGATGTACTGTACCTACCATTTTGCGGCATAAGACATACCAACATGAAGATTGGCGTCCGCATAAACACTCGGAAGTCTCATCCAAGTGCCGCCCATGGATATCCAAGGCTAGGGCTATACTGTAGGCGCCTGAAAGCTTTGGTCTGGGTTTAATTGAGCCTCTATTTAGATCGTTACCTTGAGAACCGAAGCAGTGCGTTCGCAATACCATCCTGCTGCTGGTGCACATATAAATGCCATTCTATGTCAAGATTTCTTCAATACGATTATCTTTATTCCTTCTTCGGATATCGGATGGTTGCTCTTTCCAAGGATCCAGCTCTGTGTAACCAGGTGAATCACCAGTCCAGAATAAGTCTTTATCGCTGGCAGATATGGCTGGTGGTTATTGGGTACCTATGATACAGCACATTGCCCCAGGTCACGTGTGACAAAGCCCTAATATCGAAGCTCGAGGACAACCCAGCCCGAGCTGCTTCTGATGCAGCGATGCAGAAGTCTACGAGCGTAACAAGACCAGCTTGACCCTCTACCATGCAGGGTGATTGATATTCCTGCGCATATTGTACCCTTGTCCAGAGCGCTTGCTGACAGGATCCATGACGAGAATCTAGGGTTATTGCAACGCTTTACTAGGCAAGGCGGATCATTACCAGTGCCTAAAGATAAATAATCCCTTAGTTCTATCATATCAGCACATAGCAAAGCACTCTCAAGGGCTCCCTGGTCTGCCCAATAACCTAACAAACACTGCCAAGCAAGACTACACGGAGTAGGTAAAGCACGCCATCCTTATCACCAACTATCTTGCTTCTAGTGCAACGCTACCAAAGAGGATTAGCAATCGACAGTTCGACCCATTACCAATCGGTACTACTCCAGCGCTCCAGTTTCGGAGACTTTTCGGCCTGTTCCTGGTCCGGGGATCGACCCGGTCCTTTATCTCTCCGCATCTATGCCCTTCCACCGGATGGTGGAGAGCTCAAGTGCTCCAGTTTCATTATACAATACTCAAACATGTCGCTGGCAATAGAAACAGCAGTTTGTAAAGAGGCAAATCCCACAACCTCATCTCACCCTCCATCAGAATGCGACTGCACGGAGATCAAAACCAAAGATGCGCCAAACCTCGAAGCAGGACGCCAACTCCCCTCGCGTAGAAGAAAGCCTCTATCCTTCTTCCTCGCATTCCTCTCACTCCTCCTGATGGTCTTCCTGGTCTCGCTGGACGCCACAACACTGGCCGTCGCTATCCCCGTCATCACGGCTGACCTCGCCGGCACAACCCTAACCGCCTTCTGGGCCAACATCTCCTTCACGATCGCCGTCGTCGTCATCCAGCCCATCTACACCAGCTTCTCCGACATCTTCGGCCGCAAGATCCCGCTTTACGTGGCCTTCGCGCTCTTCGCTATTGGGTCAATTGTCTTTGCAGTGGCGCACAGCATGGCCGTTCTCATTGTGGGACGCACACTCCAGGGCCTAGGCGGAGGCGGCCTGGATGTTCTGAGCGAGGTCATTGTCGCCGATATTACAACGCTGCAAGAGCGAGCCGTGTATATCGGGTTGTTATCCTTCCCCATGGCGCTCGGCTGCATTGCGGGGCCTATCCTAGGCGCTGTCTTCAGCGAGTACGTCTCCTGGCGCTGGATTGGCTGGATCAACTTGCCTGTAACTGGCGTAGCCCTTCTTCTCGCCATCTTCTTCATGCGCCTCAAGCCCATCACCCAGTCATTCCGCGCCCAATTGGGCCGCATAGACTGGATTGGAATGGCTATCTTCACGGCTGGGTGTATATTCTTCGCCCTCCCGCTCAGCTGGGCAGGCAACATGTACCCCTGGTCCTCATGGCGCACGATCCTCCCGCTCGTCATCGGCGCATTACTCCTGGCCGCCTTCGCCTTCTACGAGCGCTACCCGACTGACGCCGTCTTCCCCTACCGCATCTTCCGCTCCCGCACAGCGCAAGCCACGCTCCTCGGCAGCTCCATCCACGGCTTCGTCCTCTACACGCTCCTCCAATACCTCCCGCTCTTCTTCCAAGCCGTGTATCTCGAAACACCCCTCGACTCCTCAATCTCCATCCTCCCCTTCTGCTGCGTCGTCTTTGTGTTCACGGGCATCGCCGCCTTCGCCGTCGACTTCTTCCGGCAATACCGCTGGGAGATCTGGGGTGGCTGGGTCTTCCTCGCGGTCGGGAGCGGCGTTTTTGCGCTGTGGGACCGCGACTCTTCGCGCGCAATGACGGCCAGCTTCCAGGTCATTGCGGGGATTGGAATCGGCACGATCTTCAGTGTCCCGCCGATTCCGATGCAGGCTAGTGCGAAGGCCGACGACCAGGGGCTGGCCATGGGGATCATGGTTGCGTTCCGGCTGTTCGGGGCGTTGATTGGGCTTGCGGTGGGGGCGACGACGTTCAGCAGTGTTTTTGCGGACAGGATCCATGGGATGGTCTTGCCTGCTTCGTTGGCGGTGCTGAGTGATCCTGCGGAAGTTGTTGGCTTTATTCCGTATTTGCGGAGTGTTGATGTTGATGCTGCGCTGAGGGACGTCATTCGCGATGCGTATCGGGACGCGATGGAGACGATTTGGTATATTCTTGCTGCGTTGGGGGTCGTGGGGTTTGTGAGCTCGCTGTTTACGGAGGAGTTGACGATGGAGACTGAGGAGGTGGGGAGGCAGCATTTCGAGGCGTGAGGGGGTCAGTCAGGTCAAGGTAACCTGATGAAGCGAGTTCTTCACGCCACTGGAAATATGTACGAGCATATTAAAGGCCTTTTAGTTAAATATTTGAATAAGGCCAGGGAAGGGGGGGTTATACACATAGCACTGCACGCCCGTTACTGGGTGCCTTCCTAATTAGGATATTGCCTAATCAGGACTTTGCTTATATCAGGCATGGCTAGGGGTGTACACCTAGTCATCTGGGGTGTCGCCGGAGTGCGACCCTGATTTGCCCGTGCGCCGGCAACCTTCCCCTCTTCTGGACGAGGCAGTTACACCGCATGATGGAGCGGAACGGTGTGCAATCGCTTATTTTACCTACTACCTACCCGTTAGTCCACAGGGGGGGTATTGAGTATAGCAATAGTATAATTATAATAGCAAATTATTAAAAAATATAGCTGTACTATAATATTTTAATAAATTATAACACTAATAGTATATTAAAAAAAAAGTATATAAAAAATAAAGATATATGTGTTTTATTAATATAAGTTTATGTTTAAAAAATAAATTACCTAGAATGTATTTAATATTTATAATATATTTTAAAAATAATGTATAAAAAATATATATTAAATATAAAAAATATGTATTTAAAGTGCTTAATATACACTAAATATATATTAAGCAAACTAATATATATTTATTAGGTTTAATATACCTTTAATATATATTAACTTTGTTAATATATATTTATTAAGTTTAATATATATTTTTATGTTTAAAATATAACCACGCGATAAAAACCTACCTAGTATATAATTTAATAATAGTTATTAAGTATAAAGTAAGATATTAGTAGTTTAAAAAGCTTAAAAATATTTAAAAAATAAAAAAAGGTTATTAAAAAATACTATGGATTATTACTATAAATTATTACCAGGGGAAATTAACAAGAATTACTAGAAAAATTAATAAAAAGATTATAGCTAAAAATAATTTTTAAAAAGTGCTAAAGGTTAGCGCTAAAAATTATTACTAAAAGATTACTAAAAAAATTATTAAGTATTATTACTAAAAAACGCCGGAGGCCGCTAAAAAGTATTACTAAAAAGTGCTAGGAAAATTACTAGGGATTACTAGTAAAAAGCGCTAAAGAATATTAAGAATTACTAAAAAGTGCTAAAAGCACTAGGGATTACTAAAAAGGGCTAGAGGGCGCTAGTAATCTTTAGAAATTATTAAAAAGTGCTAGGGATTATTAAAAAGTGCTAGATAGCGCTAGTAATTACTAGGGATTATTAAGGGTTACTAAAAAGTGCTAAAAAGCGCTAAAGGGCGCTATTAATTACTAAAAATTACTAGGGATTACTAGGGATTACTAAAAATTACTAGGGATCTTTAATAAAAAGCGCTGGTATAAAGCACTAGGTATTACTAAAAAGTGTTAGTAAAAAGTACTAAAGGGCGCTGGTGGGCGCTATAAATTACTTTTTAAATATTATTAAAAAGTGTTAGTAAAGAGTGCTAGAAAAAGCGCTAGGAAGATAGTTAAAAAAATAGCTAGAAATTAAGGTACCTATAAAAAGTATTAAAAAAAGTGTTAGGGAGATAGCTAGGGATTACCTATAAAAAGTGTTATAAAAAGTATTATAAATTACTAATAAAAAGTGCTATAAAAAGTGTTAGGGAGATTGCTAAAAAATTATTAAAAAAAGCGCTAAAAAGCACTATAAAAAGTAATAAGGAAAGCGCTGGTAAGCACTAAAAAGAACTAAAAAGTATTAGAAATTACTAAAGATAGTGCTGGTAAAAAGCACTAAATAATATTAAATATTACTAAAAAGCGCTAAAAAATGCTAAATAGTATTAGGGATTACTAGGGAGCGCTAGAGGGCTCTAGGGATTACTAAGGAATGTTAAAAAGCGCTAGGGATTACTAGGGATTACTAGGGATTACTGGGATTGCTAGCAATTGCTGGGATTACTAGGGAGCGCTGGAGATTGCTGGGATTGCTAGGGAGCGCTAGGGATTGCTAGGGATTACTGGAGATCACTAGGGATTGCTGGGATTGCTGGAGATTGCTGGGATTGCTAGGAAGCGCTGGGATTGCTAGGAAGCGCTGGGATTGCTAGGAAGCGCTGGAGATTGCTAGGGATTGCTGGGATTACTGGGGATTGCTGGAGATTGCTGGGGAGCGCTGGAGATTACTAGAAATTGCTAGGATTGCTGGGGATTGCTGGAGATTACTAGAAAGCGCTGGAAATTACTAGGAATTACTAGGATTGCTAGGATTGCTAGGGAGCGCTAGAGATTACTAGGGAGCGCTAGAGATTACTAGGGATTACTAGGGATTGCTAGAGATTACTAGGGAGCGCTAAAGATTGCTAGGGATTACTAGGGAGCGCTGGAGATTACTAGAAATTACTAGGGATTACTAGAGATTACTAGGAAGCGCTAGAGATTACTAGGGAGCACTAGAGATTACTAGGGATTACTAGGATTGCTAGGGAGCGCTGGAGATTACTAGGGATTACTGGAGATTACTAGGGAGCGCTGGAGATTGCTAGGGATCGCTAGGATCACTAGGGATCGCTGGGAAACGCCGGAGAGCGCTGGGATTACTAAGAAACGCCGGGGTTGCTAGGGAGCGCTGGTGATTATTAAGAAATGCTGCAGGGCGCTAATAATTACTAATATAAAGCGCTAGTAAAGAGCGCTAAAAATTATTAGGGATTAATAGGTATTACTAAAAAGCACTAGAAAAAGCGCTAAAGAGAGCGTTAAAAAAAGCACTAAAAATTATTAAATAACACTAAAAATTACTGGGGATTGCTAGGCATTATTAAAAAGTAATAAAAAAATTACTAGGGATTACTAGCAAAAAGTATTAAAAAAAGTAATAAAAAGCACTAAAAAGTAATAGGGACCACCGGTAAAGATTACTAGGGATTATTAATAAAAAGTGTTAAAAAGCGCTAAAAAGTAATAAAAATTGCTAAAAAATAGCAAAAAGTGCTAGAAATTACTAGCAAAGATAATAAGTAACATAAATAAAAAGTGCTAATAATAAGGCATAACAAGAGGTAAAGAACATGCATAAATCTTGTTTAGCTAAGGCAAAAAATTATTATTAATATAAAAATATAGTATAAGGTTAACTATTATAAATTTAATGTAGATTACTATTTTTATTAATATTCTAGGTATTTAATAACTTAACAAGATAATAATAGGTTAAGGTAGTATATATTTTAGTATTAGGTTTAGGCGGGGGTAAAGTAGGATAGGTTTTTATAGCTTAATAGCTTAGTAAGTAAAGTGGCTTAATAGCTTAGCAAGCAAAGTAAAAAGGTTAAATAGTTAAACTTAAAAAAGTAGCATAAAAAATTAAAATTTATTATAATAAATATATATAGCAAGGTCTAGTAAAGGGAGGTAGGTAAATAATATACATAAAGTATTAAATATTTAAATTTTAACTTGGTTAATAAGAACGCGATAAAAAAGGCAAGAAAAAAATAAAAAAGCAGAGTAAATATTACTTATTTAATAAAATTAATTAGCTATGCTAGAAAAGCAAGATATAAGCTTATTAAAGCATGTAAGGAATAATAAAATAACCTTAATAATATAAATAAAGATCTTAAAAAATAATAGTTTATAAAAGAACCTTAATAATTAAAAAAAAAAATATTATAGTTTAACGTGCTGGTTGCTAGCTTAGGCAAATTTAAAAGGTTATTTAAATAATAATCTTAATAAAAAAAAAAGCGGTTGCGTGGGCAATTAAAAAAATAATAGTATATAAAAAAACCTAACTTATTATTTAAAAGCAGGTAAAAATGTAATAAAAGTGTAGTAACTAAAACAAAGCTATTTTAAATATTAAGGCGCCTGTGGTAGAAACACCTTACTTTATCTTAGGATAATAAAAAAATAAGGGTGGCTAAGTTAGTAAAAACCCCAAGGCGCGGGTAGCTAGATACTAGCTATATTATATAATATATAAGCCTAAATCCTAAGGCAGTATAATTATAAAAATTTTAAAGTTTTTTTAAGTAAAAGTATAAATAAAGGTTATATATACTAATATTACTAGGGTAAGCAAGAAAAATAGTTAAGGTAAATAATCTAGTTTATATAGTTTATAAATAAGACGCTTAATATTAAATAATAGCAATATTAATAATTATATTTTTCTAAACTAGTATATTTTTATTATTACTAGTATTATTAAAGTCCGCCTTAAACACTAACTTATTATTAAGAAGCTTTATAAAATGTGTTTTATTAATGTCTTGCCTATCCTTTTAATATAAATAGCCTATATAATAAATAGCTATAAATAGCTTATTTACAAAAATTACATAAAACTAGGCTAAGTTTATAATATAAAAAAGTTTATTTATAACTACTGGTCTTGCAAAAAGATTAATACTTTTAAGTAAATAAAAGGGGATTTTATGGGCCTTTTATTTTTAATTAAGCTATTTAACATGTTAATTATTAAGTTTTAACCAAGGCTTGCATATATTTTTTAATATGCTAGCAGGAAGATAAGGGCTGTGTACCTTTTTAAAAAAAAATTTTAAAAATAGCTACTAGGTTGGCCCTAAAGTGCTAGTAACTTTATTTATAGTATTAATAATATATTAAAACATGGCTAAAAATATAACTAAATATCCTATTTACGCTGCTAGCTATAGCACTAGGGCATACTTTAATATAAAGTATAATAATAGCTATAAGTATTTTAAGATTATTAACTTTTAAAAAGGTTTTTAAAGCGTGTTTAGTATGGGCAGTAAAGTGGTGGTATTTATCTATAAAATTATTAATATAACCTAAATAATACATGCTTAGGGCGTTTTAAGGCATACTTTAATATAAAGTATAGTAATAGCTATAAGCTTCCTGGGGGTGCTAATATAGGTAGGTATAGATTTTAAACCACTTTTTATCCTGGGTAATTATTTTTATTACTTATTAGCTAGTAGCTTAATTTTACTGCTATAATAGCTTATTA